CTACAAGCCGGATGGTCGCGGGTTCAAATCCCGATGAGGTCATTGGATTTTTTTGATTGACATAATGCTTCCAGCCACACTATTGCCCTGAAGTCGACTCAGCCTCTAATATAAATGAGTACCAGGAATTATCAAATAATTTTCCTGGGGAGTAAAGCATGGCCGGCGCGTAAGGCTGACAACCTTACCACCATCTTTGAGCCGATTGTCTAGATCAGGCATGTCAAACTCATGTTGTACAGAGGGCCACCTCAGCCCTATAAATAATAGTCCAGGGCCGCACTTCAAAATAAAAATATACATTAGATTTTAATACAAGGAAATTTAATTCTATTTATTATTTAGGAATAATTTCAAGATAATTACCTAAAGTGGAACATCTATATTTTGCCCACAAAGTAGACATGCAATTTTACCTTCTATTTCACAACAGAAATAAGCGATTTCCCATTTTTCTTGAAAAACACGGCGCTCTCTTTCAGTAGTTCTTTTTTTGCTGCTTGAATTTTTTGAAAGCGACGTTGCCCTTTAAAAGTTACTGTACATATACAAGAAAACTTGTAGTTGATAATTTAATGTTTAATTATAACCTTTATACGTTCATCACAATGTAACATCGACACCTGTCGCTGTGTGAAAATGAACCGAATGAAAATGTCAAGAGACTACCGGACTAGTAGGAAGGTGTATCTTGTCTCAATGGTCACAAAAGTGAAAGTTTGCTAGCAGCCCATTAGAGAGTGGCTGGGGGTTGCAAGCTAGTTTTGAAGGTAGAAATCCCTTGCACTTGTCTTGTCAGTTGTCACCCTCCTTGCATTCTTACTATGCCTCCAAAAGGGATTCCTGGAAATACTTGGGGTGGTGAGGCTGTGCGGATTTTAGTGCATTAACCTTCTGAAATACAATAGTTTGCCCTTCACGAACTTTACAAACCGTTTGTTGGACAAACCCTTCTGCGAATCACTTTTCCTGCAGCCTGCTAATTTATGTCTGCGTGAGACTTCTTGTCTTCTGGTCTGTTGGAAAATTGTCTTTACAAAAAATATTTCTACTAAAATGTTAATATTGATTTTAATATCAATTAGCTCTAAAAGTTGAGGGGCCGCACTTTGTGGCTATGGGGGCCGTATGTTTGACACGGCTGGTCTAGATAATGTGGGACCCTCAACGTCTCACAACCTTATGGACCTGCACGGCCTCTTACAGGGATAGCTTTGCTTTTACTTTTTATAAGACTGTATTACAAGAACTTACGATGTGAGGCATGAGGTTCCCACGGCGACGGCTGTGAAAAATGTTATCTTGTAAGAGGTGACGTCCTGTAACCCGGTGAGAGTTTCCAGCGCGTCTTCCAGAAGATGTAGGTAGTCGTTCCTCTGAAACGTAAGGTAAACTTCTACCAGACAATACGGCGTCATATTCCAGAAGATAAGTAGTATCGGTCAAGAATCTGAAAGTCTACAGACTTTAACAGGAAACTGCCACGTTCGAATTTAGGATGTCCTCTATATGACTACCCACCACATATGGGCTTCTCGTTGTTCCCAGTACCTGTAGAATATTCGGTTGGATATGAAGCACTTCTTGCTCACATTACCACCATTCATAGTCTTTCCCACTCGACGTCAATATATCATTGATAAGAGTGAAGGGATGTGCGGGGCCGCTGCTTAGTAACGTTCCGGGGGGTCATACAGTGTAAGTGAATAAATCAGTCATATCGTTGTAATTGATATTTTTTGTAAGATTTGAGGCTTTCACGGCGGTGACTATGAAGAAAGCAGCCTTCAGGGATTTGGCACCGTGTATATGTGGTGTTAACCGACGTTTCGGAGGAACGTATCGCCTCCATCTTCAGGGCAGAAGAAAAAACAAGAAT